GTTCTAAAAAAAAAAAAAAAAAGAGCCCCCACTCACTGGCTGTTGCAGCAACCGTCAGGATTTCTGGGGGCTCATGGCAGAGCCCCCCACGCAGCATGGGGCAGCAGGGATTGCCCCCTTCCCCCCTGGCAGAAGCTGGTGAGTGGGGGCTTTTTTTTTTTCTTTTTTTTTTTTTTAAAGCCGGGAGCTGGGGCCTGGCCCGTCAGGCATTGATGGGGCTGGGAGAGCAGGCAGGGGATGGGCCTGTTTGATTTGTGCATTCAGCCAATATGGCAACAGCCGAATCTCTAAATTGGATTCGACCGAATCGATTCAGGACAGCGATTTGAATCACCAAATTGAATCACTGTCCCCTGAATTGGCCGAATCTGAATCAAATACTAGCTGCTTTGCACAGGCCTAATAATAACATAAGCATGAGAAGTACATCAGAAAAATGCATTTATTGTACTTGAAGATGCCTACATTTCCATTTGTACGGTCTTGCTCCTTCTTCCTATCTTTTGTTTGTGGTACTAGTTTCTCTCACAGTACTTGCACCTCTTCATGAGAATCTCAGGCATTGGATGTTCCCAAAATTCTGCATATTCTCTGCCACTTGGCAGCTAAGAGTAGTTACTTAGGATTTATTTTTCCTATTTTTGTTTCTCTCACTGAAATTCAATTTTGAGACAAGACTGAATAGTTCTGTCCTCTCCTTCTGTGTCACTGGTTCTCAGCCAGGCATGCTGCAGAATGCCATGCAGTGTTAGAACTGGTAGGTGTGCAAACATGGTTTGCAAAATAAATCAGAGATTTCAAATGGGAATCCACAGAATTAAAAGTATTCTGACCTGTTGTGTTCTTTCTGAGTTCTTTGCATCATAATAATTGCTCTACTATAGCCAAAAATTAAGTGGAAACTAAGAGCTGACATTTTTGGGGGGGTACCTTGAGCCTATCAAGGGGTACCATGACTCTAAAAAAAGTTGAGAAGGACTACTCTATGCCATTCTCTTTCCTGCTCTGGTATCAGAGCACCCTATGATTAATGTTGACATTTCCTTTTAAATTACTCTTTAATCTCATAGGTTACTGCTATTCTCTCATCTTCAACAAGTTTTCCATTTTCATTTTGATGTAGATCGAAAAGTCTCCTGTCTGCACGTCTCTCAGGTTCAAAGGCAGGCATTACTTTCTGTTCATGGGTTACCTAAAAAGCCAGCTGCCATTCTACTGAACAGGAAGTATATCATATGCGTATGGAATGTCTGGCAGCCTTCCAGCCCTCAGAAAGTCCTAGTTTGTGACTCCGAGGTACAGTTTAAAGCTATTACACAATTGCCTATTTAATGAATTAATTCAGGATGCGTACTGTACTTTTCAGTCCTATATAATTTGTACACTGTTGCACTCAGTGAGCAAAACAGTGCCCCATTATATTTTGCATTTTATTGTTAGGTTCTGAGAGAGAAACAGATTCTGTTTTAATTTAGTCCCAAAGGTTGTCAGGACCTATATGCTTCTAAAACTATTACTATACAGTAAAATTTCACCTATTCACTTTGCAGCTAAGTAGGAACAAACCAGCAATGCTCTAGGGAGGAGATGGGAGGCTTTCTGCAGCCTGTCATACTTCCTTTAAATAGGTTGACTTCCCATTGAGCAAGCATCTCTAGTCTTTCTGGATATCTGAGCCTTGGAAGAACACATATATACTTAGCTGAATCAAATCTTTATTCTCCTTCTAATATTTTTGTCTCATCACACAGGTAATATGCTGCTGCTTTAGTCCCAATAAAGCAACTTTAGTATTTGCTGGAACAGTGGATGGTTCTTTGTTAGTGTGGGATCTCAGGGAAGACTCAAGACTGCATCATTGTATGAAGTTCAATGAAACTGACTGGATATTTAGAGCTCCAACATTTTCCACTGGTCAGTGTAAAGTGCGTTATAAACAATCATTCTGCATGCAGTAAAGTTGTCTGTCAAATTCTGCTAAGAAATCAAAGGGATCTTTAACCTAGTTTAGGTATGCTACGGGTAGTATTTAGGATGGCACACCCACTATCAGCAGTGGGTGTAAGGTAGGGTGAGATACAGACATGAAGGGATTGGAATAGAAAAATGTAAGAGGCAACTCACTTGCACTTAAATTTCTAACCATAGTTACTGACCTAGGCACTTTTGAAAGTCTTACCAAGTGACTCTCCATTAAACTCTCAAATTAGGTGCATTTGAGTTAGGTTGTTACCTGTGTAATTTTTATCACCTCCAAGCTTTATTCATTTACTGTTACATTTTTAGTAGAATTATCTCCTCTGTCACTGTTTATGACCCCTCCATCTATTCATTGGGCATAGAACATCAACTCATAGAACATTTGTTAAATTTTGATTTCACCTATGCTTGCATTATTCATGTGTGCATCTTTTGCACTTTTCAAATTAGTTTGAAATTTAGATCATCATTATGTTATGCCTTTTTATGAAGGCATCAGTTCAAGTTAAATGGACTGCACTGGGAATGATGGGAAGAAATAAATAAACTAGAAACCATGTGTGGCAGGGCACCTTTGGTGCCTGCTACTTTAAGGTTTGAGGGCAGGCAGCAGGGCAGCCTGCAGGTGTGGGCTAGCCCTAATGAGGCAGTCACAGCAGGAGTGGGGTATGAGGTTGAAGCCAACAAGAAAAATCAGAGTTTGTTGAATTTGCACCTTACTCCAAATAATATCTACATACAATAGCACCCATTTAAAAATCACTCTGGATTACTTCCCTGATCCTTTAGTTAAATCTGCATGACTGAACCTTTGCATATTTGTGGAATCTTACTGGCTTTAGGCTTCATAGGTTGGTTGTTAATGGATTTTTTTAGGGGATTACAGGCTTTTGGTCTTGAGTGACATGGTCTGCCAGTAGCAGAGCATCCACTTCGTGTTGTGGCTTGTAATTTATATAAGCAACAATATTTTAATGCTGAAAACTTAAGGAGCCTGTTTCCTTAAATTCTGAATAAAAATAATACTCAGCAAGCAGAAAGTCTTTGGAAATCAGAATCTCCAATTGGGGGATATGAACTGAAATAGGTTTTTTCCCTAAATAACTTATTTTAACTTCTTCTTAAATAGTAAATGCATATTTTCAATTTCCAGACTTTTTCTTTGGAAATACTAGTTGACTTTTTCATTAAAAAAGCTTAACATCTTTGGATGACTTATTTCTCTACCAATTTTGTATTTCCCATTTAGAGCTTGAAATTAATATGTCCAAGTGCCTCATGCAATAGCACAAATGATGCTGCAGTAATTTGGGCAATGAAAAATAAAAAAAGATAGAAGATGCTTTATCAGAAGTATTTTATTTAACATGTTTTTAGTACAGTTCACTATTTGTCCTCCTTGGCTACTTATAATCCTGAATTTTATAATCTAAATGTGCAACTTGCTTGTTGTTTTTAAATAGTACAGCACTTATTAATTCTTTAACTACAGATGGTGTTCTCACCTCAGTAAACCACACATGTTCTGTACAAGCAATAGAACCTGTTTCAACATCTGTCTACAAGGAACAGAGTTCCTGTGGGCTCTCAGGCCTCTCTTCTCAAGAAGGTATGTGAATTGTTCTTTAAAAGTACAATGGATGTGATATTTTCCTTATAGTTAAATAAATACCTTATACTAGGTATTTTACAGTGCCCTAGCCAAATTCTAATTTCCAGTTGCATTCTGCCTGTTTAAAATCCTACATAATTTCATTGAAATACAACATCAGTCTTCATTTTCTTCCTTATAAGCTCTTAGTCTATTATCTGGACTAGCTTTTATAACTATTATGTCCCTCAGTGGGTTAACTGCTTTATTTACCCCTTTTGGTCTCCTCAACCTACCTTTGCCTTTCTCAGCAGTTCCCTTTGCCTCAATCCTTTCCTCCCCATTTTCCTATTATTTGTATTTAAATTACTTTATTCCTGTCTTTTTATTACCCCTACTCTCTGCAAATATGACCCCACTCATAGCCTTTGGTGAAATAGGCTGCTGCATACCAAAAGGCATGCCACTCTGAATTAGTCTCTAAGGTACCACTCTACCCTGCCTCTGTCCTTAGTTCAGACTACCATAGATAACTACCTCTCTGTCACGGAGTAGGGCCTAGAGGCGGCCGTGATCCCCCTAGCTCCCCCTGCCGTGCCAAGTAGGCGATCCAGCACCCTCTATTCTCGCCCGCCACGTCTTGTTGGTATATAGTTTTATATAGGAGGCTGCCTTTAGTCCACCTGGACACGGTGCTATAACTATCCGGGCTCCTACTCTCTATGGGGTGACCTGGTGCACCCCCAGCCTTATGGGCTATGCGTGCCTCCAACCTCCCCTTTAGCATGCCCCAAGCCTCGCAGATCTACCAGACATAATCTGGTCAGATTCTTGTATGCGCCCTGCCTGGCGCCCCTGGGCTTGTCACGCAACCGGCGCCCCTTCCCCGGTGCCCCTGGACTTGTCACGCAACCGGCGCCCCTCTATTTGTTAGCCCTCTCAGGCTTAACAACAATACTCTTTCTAGTTGGGCTCAGGCGGCCTGAGCCTTACCTGGCCCCCTGTGACCCGTCGGGGTCCCACCCCTGTAGAGCCCTCTGGGACTCTGTCCAATCTGCACCCCAACTGGGGTTTCTATCAATCCTATGTGCCCCCTCCTGGGGCTTCTTTCCAGTATGCGCCCACACCTGGGGCGTCTCAATGGGGTTGACCCCCGTCGGGGCTTCACCCCGCCAGGCAGTACCTCACTGGGCCTGCCTCCGTGCTTTGGCAGCACCCCATGGGGTCTGCCTCCGTGCTTTCCATGGTCGGGGCTCAGGTGGCCGTAGCCATGCCTGGCCCCCTTGACCCACCGTTAGGGTCTTTGGCCCTACTCGGGCTCCTCCAGTTTTCGCCGTCACAGGCTGGGGTCTCAACCCCCACACATCGCGCCACACCAGCGCCAAACAGCTGTGCCTCCCAGGCACTGCTCTGTGCCCATACAGGGCACCCAGGAATCCCCAGACTACTGGGGAGCTCCTGTGAGGCCTCCTCACACCCCTACAGCCTCACTTGGTCCTCCGGTTTAACAATATCAAACAAGGAACACAAAACCGTGAGCCAACCGGCTACAACACAACAATAAGCCTTCTGGCTATACCCTAAAGTCCAGGCCCCACCTGGTTTTCCAGTAAAACCCCCTGGTCAGGGTTCATTCCACCCACGCCACAGTGTAGCTACTCGTTCTGTCAGTCTGCTCAGCTCCACTGCCAAGCTCTTGCTCCTCCAACTGCCAGAAGGGAACTGCCCACAAGGCTCTGGCCTGCGCTGTTTATAAGGGCCCGGCCCTGCCCCCTTCTGGTCACCTGACCAAACATGGTTGCCCCAGCAACCAGCAGCTGGGCTGCCCTGGTGATTGGCAGCTGTTCTTAACCCTTTTCTAGGCACAGGTCACCTACGTGATCCTGTGACACTCTCTATAAGCTGTTATGACATTATTGTGGGCTCTTTTACTTTGAGTGCATGTGTGTTATGACTGCTGTGTACAAAACCATTCTAAATCCTCCTACAGTAAAACAAGTTTCCACAAATACTTCCTTCCGAGGTAGTTTCTGGGGGGAGTAGAAAGGGTGAGAGATGAAGCTATCTGACTCTATAGAGCAGTGTTCATTTCTGAAAACACTCACAGTGTGCCACTGAACTCACTTTTATTGTGCATTTTCCCTAATTTCTTTATTGACCCTACACATAGAAAGATTGCTACCCTAGGAGACATGTTGCCTTGGATCCTATCCCCAGCTCCTCCAGGCTCTGTGGTAGAAGACACAGCATTAATTCCAGAGCACAAATGCACTCTGAAACTAAAGGTTTACAGAGAAGAGCTTACTATACCATGCAGATGGCATATATCTTCCCACTTCTCATTTTGCCTGCAAAACCTTGCAGAATCCAAACATTTAAAGAGATGCAGAAAATTTCCAGGGCTGGGCAACTGAAGAGAGACAGCATGCCAGTATAGTACCCCTTCTTTCCTTCAGTTTATATTTGGCCACTTCTTCATCACAGAGGAAAGCAGCCTGGGGCTCATACTTAATACAACAGGATGCTAAATGTCTGAAAGTCTTTGGTATCCTTTGGGTTGAAAGTGTTATGTAAATGCAAGTTGTTATTACTAAATTATTATATTTTTCCTTCCATAGAAATGTCAGGCCTTTCATTCCAGATAGCTTCAATCGATGAAAGTGGGATTCTGAATCTATGGGTAAGTAAACGTAAGAGGAGGAAGAACACTGCATTTTAAAATGATAAAAATTATTTTAAAAGAGGTAGCACCTACCCTTCAGATCTTCAGGATTTCAAATAAGAATATTTCCTTCATCCTAGCCATTCCTTCATTCCAATGGCTAAATGTGCCACAAATAGCCGTTTTACTGGTATTCTGCATGACCTGGTTCCTTAATACCATAAACTTCCTATAGGGCAGAACTTGTGTTGGGTACTGGATCCAGGAAGCCTCATCTCTGGGCAGTGTTCCACTGCTTTATTGTTTTAACAGGTTTTTTTCCTGAGATCTGACCTATATCTACTTCACTGTAGTTTTAAAACCATTGCAGTTTAAAAATAGCGCAGCAAGGGAACGTAATTGTTCTCCATCTTCTTTATGGCAATCTTTCCATATCCATGGTTCCAAAACCATGATTGTACTCCTGGCCCCCTTAATTTCCTTTTCTCCAGGCTAAACATACATAGTTCTCTCAACCTTTCCTCATACAGCTTGCCTTCTAATCCTTTCATCACTTCTTGCACTCAACTCTGGAGCCTCTCCAACATTTTTATATCCTTCTTAAAATGTGGAATCCAAAACTGCCCACAACACTGTAGATGAAGCCTAACCAGTGCCAATAGACAGGCACATTTGTTACCTGTAAGGTAATGTGCTGTAGACTATCTGAGACTTCTTTCAGACTAATACTGATAAACTAGAAATACTGCTGCTCTTTCTGAAGTATTTGCGTGATTGTACTGTCTGCTATTTCCTATTATTACAATTAAGTTAATAGTATTTGCAGAACTAGATTGCTTAGTGGATTAGTAGGGGCATAAAAAGTGCTCCACATTTACATCACTGGTTCAAACCCAGAAAAGCTCCCACTAAGTTCAATGGGAGCTGAACTGAGTCAAATTATTTGTTATATCCAGCCTTTCCTGGACAAGGGCTTGGTAAGGGTATGGTGGGTTCATCCTAACACGTACAGGTGACAGCCTTATACTGTGGAATAAGCCCATAATCACTGTAATGTTAAACTTAGTTCTGTTATAGATGCTCATATGGAACAGTGGTAGGGACCCTAGAAATGCCTAAATCAGTTGTGGGTTTTGTTAATATTAGGTAGCTGCTAATTTTGAATCATTGTCCTTTTCAGGTTGTAGTTGAATTACAAAAAGTGGATATAGCTGGTTCACAAAGTGATTTAGGTAAGTCTTTACACAAGAAGAAACATTAATAACTCTGAATGGGAGGGAGGAAGAAAGCACTGAATACAACACAGCTGGTAATAGGACAGTCAAATAGTGTGGAGGAAGAGAAGATCACTTGTGGGGAATAGAGCCTTGGAGTTTAATAACATGTATGAAAGATTCCTCATCTATAGAGTTTCATGAGCCCTATTCTCACTGCCAGTGGAATAACCATTACCTACCACACTGCCAGCTCTTCCCTTTAGGGGCGTCAGATTGCTACTTCATTAAAGCAGCTTTCCCTGCTTGTCTGTCAATTTTCTTCGGCACTACTGGAATGTATGTCCCTATCAATCATCCAGCTATTTAGCTTTAATTAGAGTTGTAACATCACATCTACTGTAGCCTACATTTCATCTCCTGTGACTTTCTTACAAGTTCTCCTTTTGGGCTGAAACGTCTATATTTGGAAAATGTGATATTTGGGCTCTACCAAAAAAAATGAAAATCCATTCAGCTGTTGTGGCTGTTGTGTATTTTTCCCCATCTGAATGGGGAAAAATACACTTTCTTTACCTTAAACAAATTAAGAATTGTATGCATGACTGTGAGAAGTTTTTTAGATTTTTAAATTTTGGACATTTGGCATGCAGTCTTTATTCATTAACCAGCTTACTTACACTAATAATAAAGTATTTTTAAAAAAACTTATAATAAATATTTAAACACAATTACACTATACTGCCACCAGCAATGTTTTTGATTCTTTGGAAGTTTCCTTTAAAGTTAGAGAAATCCAGTGTGTTTAACCTAGCAGTGATATGTAACTTATTTTATTGAAGTAGAGTCCTCTCTCATGTTAAGAATATTTACTTATAATTTCAGGTTTAATTCCTGGTGGGAAAGTAAAATTGGTACATAGCTCTACTGTTCAGTTGAATGACAGGTAAGAAAAATGGTATCTACTAGATTTTGTACCACAAAGATAATTCTTCCCTAGAAAAAGACTGTTACCTAATGTGGGTTCTTTGAAATTTTCAGTAATTAATTGCTTTTGAAACTATGCACTCTTGCCAGAAAACTGTGTCAAAATGTGGAAGATCTTCCTGTTTTATAAAGCTCTTACATGGCACATTCATGCATGGACAAATGAATTGGGCTAAGATTCTGTAACAAATGTTTAATACTAAGAACAGTAAGACCTTCTATAACAGGTGTGCTTAACCTCTGGCCTGAGGGCCAAATGTAGCCTGCAGGGCTCCCTGTGGGTTGGGAAATTTGGTGGCAGGCAAGCAGTGGCAATGCTGCCACTCCTGTCCCGCTGCCAAGTTTTCAACCTTTGCCCAGCCAGGTTGGGATTAGGCCACACCTTTTTCCCTTGTATGGCCCTGTCAGGGCCAGGCGATGCCCCTTCCCCCTGTCCAGCTGGGTTGGCGCTGGATAGTTTCCTGCCTTTCTGTGCATGGCTGGATTCGACCCTGCCATGCCAACCCAATGTGCAGGATTGGGCCCACTGGCACTACCCATCCAGCCCTGTGGGGCAAAAAAGGTAGAGTACCACTATTCAATAACATATTTGCATTGCTTTGGGAGATTTCCATCTGTTTGTTTTGCTTTTTTTACTTTTGTATTTCCCCAGGCTTTTCCCAAAAGATAGGATGTGCCTGAAGACACCCCTGACTCTGAATATTAAGTTTCAGCCTTCTAATCCTAATCATTTTATTGTTGGGACAAATATTGTGAGTAAAGCCCTCAATTTCATTGCATTATTGATATCTTTCCTCTTCCATTGTTGTAATAATAAAAGTTTCTTTGGGTTTCTACTTGTGCTTCATTTGTGAATATTTATGGTTTGAAATAATTATTAAAAGTGGTTTATTGTGCTAATTGGTAATGAAGATTAAGGGTGTACATGGTTTTTCTTTTAATATATAAACACTGATAATATAGAATTTCTTTTTGATTTTATGTTATTAACAGGGTCTGGTAAGTCATGGCACAAGACATGACTTAAGAATACCTCCAAAGCTATTCAAACCTCAGCAGGGTGGACCACGATCAGTAAGAGTCAATGCAGTTGATTTCTCCCCTTTTGGAAAACCAATATTTTTGGTAAGGAAGCCTTTTTATCTTAAAAAAAATAATTTTTAATTACTTGTTAGGGGGAAGATTTCTAAGTCAGCATCAGAAGTAGCAATCAGTTGACATTCCCAGTTCAGAACCTTCTTCCGATGTGGCAAACAGGTGTTGTATATTTTGATTAAACTCAGCACATGCTGAAAGATGGAGAAGTGTTACAATCCCACTAGAGCTATTACCTTAGAATTTGTTGACTATTTTAATAAAGATTTAGTACAATACTTTCACTTCAAGTGGAAATACATGACTTATTACTGCAGTGGTATATTATTCTGTATCTGAGTCTGGGTAGTTTTCTTGCATAGCAAACATGGACACAATCTTTTAGTTGTCTCCCTTGTTAAACCTTGTTCAATACTAGGTGAATATGATTAAAATAGGAAATCCTATATGCCTATTTGGGCATCAAGTTAGGTTAGATCTGCTTTAGGAGAATGATTAAGGGACAAATCTTTCCCAACATATCACTGTAAGTGATGGTACAGGGTATAAATTAGATGCAATTTATCTAACATGTACACGCATTCTGTAGTACCATTTACAAAACTGCATTTTTGTCTATGAGGAATAGGATAGTGTTAGTTAGATCATACCGAATTGTCTGGCAAAGGCCATCCTAGATATGAGCAAATCCAAAATTAACTCTGCTTTAATAAGCTTTTTTCCTGCAACATCCTGTAGGATAAACATCAGCTTGTTAAGTTAGAGAAATGGTGAAAAAAAAGTGGGGCATTGTTCTTGGGAAATAGTAATATTTCCATAAAAAGCAGTTGTTTCCCCCTTGTTAAACCATTTCCTGACACTTACCATCCTTTTTTAAGAAAGGTTGTAAGAATGTTGTGGCAAAACAATTGGAGTCTTTTTGACTGACATGACACCTGTTAGTTTTGAGCTTATTAAATCTGTTTCTCACTCTATACGCAGATCCAACAATGTGAATCATCTGCTCTGTGCTTTTTTTTTCCTCTCTCGTATAAATTATGTGTGAGGTCATATGGGAAATAGGGAGGTGCCCTGGGCTGCAAAGCCATAAATGCTTTCAGCTCTTTCTTTCTTTAAACATGAGTAGTATAATGTATTTTTGCTGTCTTAGATTAGGGCACCGGCTAAAGCTTATTCTAGACAAGGCCGAGGTGACACTTATAGTTAGACCACAGTATCTAGAGCAGGGGTTGGCAACCCCCAGCATGCATGCCAGAGTGTGGCATATGAAGGCATTTTGTTTGGCATGTGTGCCTCGGGGTAGACAGTGGGGAAGAGACCCAGGCTGCATTGCAACAACAAGGATCAGGCCCCTCGTGGCTTCCCCACCACCCCTCCCTAGCACGCCAACATCTTCCAAGCAGAGACTGCAGGTTATTTTGGTGGACTGCCCAAAAATGTTGCCAATCCCTGATCTAGAGGAAATGATGAAGAGGGTATCTGACTTCTATTAAGGCGTGTATATATGTAATCTTTGCTATTCCCCAGTTCAGCAAGATAATAAAGCATACAACACATTATTAAGATATCAGCAAGGCTGCTTACCACATACCTGTATAATTTAGAACCTTGCTGAATTAGGACATTGGGTTCTGATCCATCCCCCACTGAAGTCAGTAGCAAAGTTTAGAATTGATTTCAGTTGTGCAGGATCAGGGCCTTATTGAGATTTGCAGTTTAAGGGTCATTTTTGAATCCTTGGCTACATTTGCAATTCTCAGTTGGAAGTGATCTTATAAACTACAGATGTAAAAAATACTCCAGGAGACTGTAGATTTTCCTTCTGGATAGAGATTTTATCCAAATACGTCTTTGGAACCTCCATATTTGGATTACTGCATTTTGCTAAAGACCAGTCAAACTGAACAAAATACTAGAAGTTAAAAACTGGAAAATTCCTTGCTGTCCATAGACTGAAGTGTAATAGTGATGCATCATTATATGTTAGATAGCTCTGTGTTTATAAATAAAACCTAATATAATTGTAGAGAACAACATGCCTCAACTTTCCAACCACAGGATTGTAATTTTTACTTTTGATTAGTTTGTTTTGCATACAAGACTTGTCTTTGCTTTGTCATACAGGTTGGCTGTTCAGATGGAAGCATTAGATTGCACCAGATGACATCGGAGTATCCCCTCCTGCAGTGGAATGACAGCACGGATGGCCAGCCAGTTATTGCCCTTCAGTGGGCTCTAACGAGACCTGCTGTATTTTTAGTCCTGGATGCATCATCTAATGTTTATGTGTGGGACCTGCTGGAAAATGACTTGTGGCCTGTAGCCAAACAAATTATTCAGTCTGATAGGTAAGTAAATTGCATAACTCTTACTTTTTCTTGCAGTTATAAAATATTAGCATTACACTGAAACTGTCCTTTTGTCAAAATGTGTTTAACTGAATGCTTCCAGAAGAGCCTGAATTTTTAGGTGTTGCTAGCGTGCAACTTTGATTGGGCCTGATTTTCATTTATTTCATTGTTGTTTTACATGCTGCCACAGTGTCATTCATTGGCAGCCATTGGTTTCAGGAGACTATGGGGGTTGTGCTCCTGGTAGGTTACCAGGTACCACCACAGCTTCTTGAATGGCTGAGCCCAGTGCACAACAGGCAGACCCTCTGGCAAGTTGCACATACAAACGCAGTTGAGCTTGCACTGGCATGCTGAATATTGTTTTGTAGCAGTGTAAAGAGAACTTAAAGTGAATGACCACTCATTGATGACTATTTAACAGGCCCTTTACACTGTCAGAGAAGTGAAAAACTTCTAATGTAAATTAAAATGAGGCTAAGTGTTATAAGTGGGAGTTGTGTTCATGGAGCAGCTGCAGAATTGAGCTGTTATAAATGAACAAATTCTGTTCCCATTGAAACCACCTGGATCACTCAAAGTTTTACTGAAGGAGGGAGGAAAGGAGGGTCCCTTGTCTGTCTTAGGAATTTATCCTGCAATGCAGGAAAAGTTAGAGAGAATGATACTTACAAACTTCATGCATATTGTACATGTTTAACTATAGAGAGAAATAAATTGTGGCTGTTTAAAATAGAAATAAGAAAATCACTTAGATTTGAATGTTATTTTGTAGAAGTTAATTCAATGTGATAAGAGTAGCTAGGTTCAATGGTTTTGAAAGACTTTGAAAAAATGGTATAAAAACACAGCCTTTTAAAAAAAAGTTACTATAATTTTTTTTAATGTTATATAAAATAATAATTTAGAATTTTGAAACAATTTATAATGCATGATTAGAAATATGATTATGTGGAGGTTGCCTACCAAGATCAGAATTTCCCTTGAAGTGTATAGATATAAAATGATTGCTTCAAACTGGTCCTTTCCTTGTTGCTTGTTTTATAGCACTGTGTTTTCCTACATTTCCATTCCTGTCATTTTATTTAGTTTTTTCAGAAGGCAATGCAATTCATTATAGTTTCCTATTAGAAAGCTTTTGGAAGCAGTTATTACAAGTTTGAAGGGTAATGTTCTACTTTCATTTATTTTCTTGCCCTTAAAAAAAGCAAAAAATCTTCTGTTTTTATCAGGGTTCTGACCATGGCTGTACTGGGTGAACCAGAAAAAAAAAACGGGCTCTTGGGGATTGTACTGGCCAAAGAATCTGGAATAATAGACATCCAGTATATAAAAAAGAAGTGGGCCTTACTTCAGTCTGAAGAGTCAGAGAAACTACATTTGCTTTTGCAGCAATCCTTATAGAAGCAAATAAATTTCCTCTCTTTGAGTATACAAATGTGGCTAATTACATTTAGATTCTTTATTATATTACGACTGTAATTAAAAGATTTATAATTTAAGATATTTTCCATTTGTATTGTGTATACTGTATATACTGCCAAGAATATCAGTACAGAATTTTGGGTGAAGAAATGCAATATTTTTAATAATTATAAAAATGACAGAGCACAGCCTGAAGGGAAGATAAATTGTATTTACTTTCATATGATATGGGTTTGTAGACATTTATTATTTATAGATATTTTTCAATAAAATTTTAAAAACAGACCTTTAAAATGTTTTGATGTTTCTTAATATTTTACTTTAAAGCAGATTATAGATATTTTAGGTTCTTTGTGTCAACCTAAACATATGACTCTCTATAACTTAACATGAATGTTATAACAGGCTTTATCTTTGGAGTCTTCACAATATCATTAGACCTATCATTTGAGAAGTAAACATTATAAGCCAGATCGTACCACTGTATGGACATACCTGTGTATAGCCAGAAAGCTATGTAAGTTTACCTTTGAGTTTCCTTAGTATTCTCCCACGCTTCAGCAGGTTTGATTAATTGAGTCTCCTCTGATGTGCTGGAATTCCAGTGTGTCGGAGCAGCCTCGGCACTTGTGTATAAACACCGTGTGATTCTGCCAAGAACTTTTCTGCTGGCATGTGACTTTAGGCCCCTTGTTAGAGTTGTTCCTCATCAGACAGGATGTTTCATAAAAGACTAACTCAGCCGTTAGTCCGTTAGTATTCTTCTGTCATGCCTGCTGGGGACAAATATGGCTCTTTCACTTAGCTCTGTCCCTCTCATGCTGATTTCCTTCCACCTAGATCCACAACCCACATGAAACTATCCAAGAAATCCAAAAAAGCATGAAATACTGCCCTGGAGGCATTTCAGTGCACAACAGGTTGTAAAACCATACTGATAGATTACTGTCATAATTGAAGTATGCATCAAGTAGGATTCAGCAAGGGTTTTCTTTAGGTCATATACTGTTCAATATTCCCATTAATAACTTGGATGATAGGAAAGAAAGTACATGTATTAAATTAGCAAAGGAAGCAAGGCTGGGAACTACTGAAAGCATTTTGCAAGACAATTGAAATTCAGAATGATCTTGATCAGAGAAATGATCTGAAATAGATAGCAAGGACAATTGCAAAGTACTGCTCTTAAGCAGAAAAATTAACTGCACAAGTACAGAATGGGGAACAGTTGCACAGAACAGCTTTATGAACACTCGTGGTGTTCTGGAGAGGTGCCGGAGGACTGGAAGAGGGCCAATGTGGTTCCCATCTACAAAAAGGGGAGAAAAGAGGACCCGGGGAACTACAGGCCAGTCAGCCTTACCTCGATCCTGGGCAAGCTGTTCGAGAAAATTATTCTGGCACGCATCCAGGAGGGGCCAGCAGGGAAC